CCCCAAAACCCCAAAACCCCAAAACCCCAAAACCCCAAAACCCCAAATGTATAATCTTAATAGAATGTATTCTTAAAATGGAGCTTCCTTTTGAGAATTCTGTGGGGATCACCCTCTAGGTGACAGCCTCAACAGCAGAATGTATTCAGGAATAATAGATCCATGTAAATTTGATATTACAAATGAAGCTAGAGTTTTTTGCAATTTTACAGTTTATTTGTCTAAACTACTATGATTCTTCAGAATCATCGTCTGAGCTTAATGACTCTCATTTTTAAAGTACGACTCTTGAGTAAGCCTCAGAACTCTTTCCATGCACTATTTGATATAAATTCTCAGAATCTGCAGTATTGAGATCTAGCAAACCTTAAATCAGTGAGGTCAGTAAAATGGAAGTAAAAGTAAATTTTCATAGAAGACTTTCTTAATATTAAACCTCTTGTGAGCTAAAGAATCAGAAACTCATTCTGGCTCAAAAGATGGGTTTAGTCAATATCAACCGAGACAGAGTCTCTACAAGTCACTATCTCAATTTTTCCTAAAGTTTGTGCTACAAGTAATCATACTTTTTATGGCTAAATAAAAGAATGGATTCGGAATGCTCTATATAAACTTTCAGACTCTTATTCATGGCCATCTCAGCACCATTATCCGTATCAATAGGGACTTACGAAATTGTTTAAGCTGAGAGTTTAGCGATACTTTGCGATTACGAATTCATAAAGTCTAAAGTCTCTGACGAGTTAGCATTTTCTAAACCTGATTTCTCCACCTATATTTTAGCTAGTTTGGCAACTAGGTTAGCAAGAAAGAATGCACTGGTTTTATAGAGTGTATCCAGGAGTTTTGGATGGCAAATGACTTGTGCAGTTTTTGGTCAGGAAATTAGGAAGGCCACACTGTTTATTAAATAAAATTAGTGGGTTGGTCATAGGTTTAGAGCATACGAGGTGAATCAGTTGGTTATATAACAGTTGTGATTTCACAAAGGTTCGCTTAATGATAAATTTAGCGTATGGCCCAGACTTGTAAAGTCTTCATGATTAACGAAGTACTCCATATTTATCAAATTTCTTTAATAACATTTTTTAAGAAAATTTCTTATTTAGGTTCAAGCCCTCTAAAGAGGCTGAAAGTTGGCATAGAGTATAGTTTGAATTTTTTAGTTAAAATCCTTTAAAGTTCTTTGGACTAGGACTTGATACTGACTTTTCCCTAACTAAAATACTGAAGGTCTCCTTGAAGTCATTAAATATTGTGTTGCCAAGGGATGGAAATATTGTCTTTAGAAGCTCAAATAGCCCTCTTAAAGAGGCAATTAATAGAAAAGAACAGTAGGAGAGTAATAACTGGCTTTAAAGACAGACTTTTAGAGCGTGAGTCAATATGCCAACTCAGAAGTTCTTCCTGTTGAATCGAGAACTTATTCTCAAATCTCAAGAACTAGTCCTCAAGTATGATTTTTGATAAAATTGTGAAGAATTTCTTTATAGAAAGTTTGCTAGCATCTCAAGCCAGATATAGCCATGCTTCTACTCACTAAACTCATTGGGCTCTTGGAAGTTCATATTTGAATACCTGAAAAGGTAAATCTCCTTCAATATTTTCTTCGCATAAATGGCTACAACTCGAAGTGGCTAGGGCTCAGAGAGACAAGCAGGAGCTTCCTAGTCTCCATGTAGCTCCTCTATGATTAAACTGTGTTAATAATGAGCAATTAGAAATATCGCAGTTTACGGTAAAAATAGGTGACCACATTATTAAAGCTGAGGTTCACCAACCTTAGCTTGGTTAGACTATGTTGGCATATGATATTAAAATTCTCGTATAATTTGTCTGGAAATAATTAACTTAGTTATTTCTTAAGAGACTTCTTAACATGAGGGATATCAATATTCCTAAGTATTTCGTGTTTAATTCATAAGAAGCAACATTACGTAGAGCACTTATTGGAATCAAAAATGAGCTTCTCAAGCACATGCATTACTCTTCCCAAAGCTCTATGGCTTTTTGAGTACATATAAAACTCCAGATTTTCTGCTAAAGTTAGCAATTAAGGGTTCTAATAGTCTTTTAGTTTATGTTGTTATTTGGAATCATTACTAAACTCTACAAATGAAACAATTTATAGCGATAACATCATATGTCTAGTCTTCAGGATCGAAAACATATCAGAGACAATCCTGATATCTTATTATTTTGATGCTTGACTTAAATGCTTTGTTAGCATTGACAAGTGAGTTTGTCCATTAAAAGTAGATCATCCCAACTAATAAAGATCCTAAAAGAGTGAGAATTAGCTTAAGAGACACCTTGAGATATTTCAACCCCCAAAATTTGTTAAGGATCTTTTGATGTCTGAAATTATACCAAAATCTGCACCCAAACTTAAATGCCTTTAAGATTAAGAGAGCTATATTGCTAATAATGGATATTTGAGTTTGGAGGACATATTTTAACCACAATTAAAACCTCCATTTCCTACCTTGGAGCAGTCTATCTCTAGCTTTAGTCAAGGCTATTGTACTCGTTATTTGCCGTCCCAATTAGCATTAGTATAAATTCTGAAATTCTCTACTAAAATCGATCTAGCCACCCGAATTCCTAATAGTGATGGGTATGAAATTGCCTATCTATCGAAGCCCGTCCCAATAACAAATATAGGTGAATTTATCAGAATTAGTTTATGTATCTCTGAGTCTTTGGCAGACCTAAAGTGCTTCTGAATGGAACTTTCTCTCATGAGTCTATGAGATGAGCATACTAAAATAGCCTACCTTCCTTGTGTACTTCTCGGTGAACTTCTTGTCGCAATATCTTCACTCGAAGACTCTTCTAACGTCTAAATCTGGATGAGAATGCTTCAGCAAATGCTTCTTTAAGTTCATGTTCTGAGTGTAGCTCTTTGAACAAAGGTGACATTTAAATGGTCGGAACTTGGAATGGAGTCTAGCATGGCAGTCTCTAGCTGTCATTGTTCCGAAAGACTTGCCACAGTTATCTAAAGTACAGTAGTACTTTCCTCTAGGTCTGAGAGGGCCTGATGAATGCTTCTGATTTGTATCTTGTACCTCAAAGGGTAATAACTTTTTACAAGTTCTTTTATGATAGCTTGGCTGGTGATTTTGCAGTGTAGTGTCGACATCGTTACCTTCGGCTTTAAATTCCTATTGAAATATAAGGAATATGAATAATATGAGCTTACCTGTTGAATGAAAGCTTTATAGTCTCTTTTGTTACCATTCCAACTGAAGTCTCATGGACTTGGGTGAATAAAGCTCTTGCTGGGTAGTGAAATAGATCCGCACTTCAATGATAAGAAGTCTTGGTGACAAAGTTCTGGTCCTCAAATGCAATAACTTTGCATGAGGCTTTGGAGCATCAAAGGGTCTGCAAAAGTTTGATTTAGAGCAGGAAGTCTTAGGTTGAAAGATTGGTTGACCTCTATAAATATTGTAAACAATTGAGAATTTCGGGATTTTATCGTACAAAAGTCGAAAGACTCCAATAGGACATAAAGAAAATTTAAGAATAAGATAACCTTGGTTCCAATAAGACAGTTCTAATGATAGGCATCTTCATTCATGTTGAAGAATGTTAGGAACCTCAAGAATCTTTAGTGTCCCTTCACCTCGCATGAAATAGCTACAGGTGGTAAAGAAGACACTCATTTTTGCTAAATCTTCACCACCACAGCTTTTGGGGATAACTCTTTCGATTTAACTCTAAACCTTGGTGGTGAAGCTTTAGACTGAATGACATGGTTATGCATAAACGATCTTGTACCTTCTTGAGAGTTGACTGAAGTGGCCAACGACGCAGCATTCGTGAATGTAGTTTTACTTGTTGTTCTCTGAAAGATCATTTAAATAATTATTATGATCAACATGTTTGACCTTATGTGGGGTTTTGGGGTTTTGGGGTTTTGGGGTTTTGGGG